TTCCTTTTATTTCTTTTTAGGGGCATAAACGGTAAAATTAATTTAAATACAACAGTTTTTATTAAAAAGTTTCTGAAAAAAAATCCCAAAAAGGGGACACAAGGGGAAAAGGGGTTTTTTCACCTTTTCCGATTTTTCAATTTGAATTTAAAATTTTCCCAAAGACCAATGTAACAAACTTAAAAGCCAATCCTTTTTTTAAAAATTTTTTCAGGGGGCCTTGCTGTCTTTCAAATTTAGAAACAGGTCAAAAACCCTTTTAAAGGCAGGTTTGGTTTTTAAATTTTTTGTTTTATTTTTTGAATTTAGGTTTTTTTAGACCACCTTAAAAAAATCCCTGGTTTTTGAATTTTATTTTTTTTTAAAACCCCGGGTATAATATCGTGGATACAATTCCTCATATCTATCAACTGTTTGGAGACAATAAATTTTGAACTTCTCCGAGTCAATGTCAGCACCACATGCTAGTGCTGTTTGAACCACTCCAAATCTTATAAATAGCTCTTTATCAAATCCAGTGATGTCACACACCTCTTTTGGGTGAGAGAAAAACTTCGTTGCTGTGTTTCCATCATTAGTGGAGCCTGTTCCCTGCTGGACCATGTCCACAAGAAATCACAATTTGTCTCTTACCTACTCTGAATTCTTGTTTTCCTTGCAGCATAAAGCTTTTCATTGCAGCTCCACTTTTTAATGTCCATTTTGTATGAAATGTGTAACACATTCCAAGAACCTGACACGGGCATTGAATATGGAAATTCAATATTTAAATACAGTCTTGTCAACAGGCAGTGTTCTATTAGACATTGTCGCAGGTTTCGCACCACATGCACAACAAGCTGCATGCGAAGAAGCTCCTGTCAAAAAAGTCCTGGTCTTCCCATCAATCATAGTCAATTTGAACTCATGAAATATAATTAAAGTTGGCCCATTTTTTAGATTAACTGTTGACGGCTCTAACTTTGAAATCTTCTCTTCCCAGTAATTTGCTTCCCCTACCACTACCTCATTGGTTTCCTTTAAGGGGGCAGTAGCACTTTGTGCACGCTTTTTCAAGTTTTTTCGAATTTTCTGTTTGCACCTGAATTAAAAAGACTTCCATGAATGCTAGAGACAAACGGCAGTAACCATGTAAAAGATCAATTTTTTTGCAACAATTTCAAAAAAAAGTATTTTGTTTTAGCTTAAGGGGAGGCACCTATATGAGGGACGTAAAAAAGGTCTGCAAAATCATACGTGGTGTCACTGCGCGCACGATTTCAGCCAAAGTTTTCAACTTTTTTTCAATCGGTAAAGTGCATAAAAAAGAGCATAAAACTGCCTACAAAATGAACCACGGGGGTTAATAGCGGGCCAAAAACGCTGGTAGAAAAAGGTCGTTTTTCACAAATTTTCCATTGAATGCATTTTTCTTGTTCGATACTAAATATCCAGTAGCATTTTGCATCCGATATTAACCCCCGTGGTTCATTTTGTAGGCAATTTTATGCTCTTTTTCATGCACTTTACCGATTAAAAAAATGTTGAAAACTTTGGCTGAAATCGTGCGCGCAGTTACACCACGTATGATTTTGCAGACCTTTTTTACGTCCCTCATATAGGTGCCTCCCCTTATGCTAAAACAAAATACTTTTTTTTGAAATTGTTGCAAAAAAATTGATCTTTTACATGGTTACTGCCGTTTGTCTCTAGCATTCATGGAAGTCTTTTTAATTCAGGTGCAAACAGAAAATTCGAAAAAACTTGAAAAAGCGTGCACAAAGTGCTACTGCCCCCTTCTGAGAGGCTTGCAAAATAAAGTGGAGGCAGGTGTGTCATTTTTTCAAATCATTTGTGGTGTACCCAGTCTTGGGTCGCAATATTCTCCCTAGACTTTATCCATATGAATTTTAAGCAGATGATACCTTTCCTTAAAAACATACCTATAACTACAACTACAAGACACATAAAGGTGTCAGCTAGCTTTTACTCGAGAGTCCAAAAACCAAGTGCGTATCCTAACAATAATATAGGGGCTGGCTGCTGGGGCGGGATGGTGCGTCTGTGGTTGGCTGCGGCGCAGTCTGCGCGGAATTCGACAATCACTACCCAGGCCGGGCGTAAACAATGGCACCCCCTCCTCGCGCGCGACGGCCTGCACGCAACATTGACAATCCCTCCCCGCGTACAGCGCAGAAGCACCGGGCGCTCGCAATCCAACGGGCACGGCGCAGCGGTGCAGGCCACGGCACAAAGGACTCAGTTTTTAAATACTATCCTTGGAATGAGCCCATACTACCCCGTAGAAGAAAACCTAACGAGTATCATCTGCTTTCATTATCGTTCGTTGAAAGGGATTTTTGCGTCCAATTATGAACAAAATAATGCATAATCATAATATTTGTTCTGAGCCTGTTCTGGACATGTGAATTGTTCCTGATTCTTTGTACTTTGTACAAATAAATGTTCATAGATAAGTGGGTGCTACCTCCCTTCCCCGGCTTCCACTTTTCTTCTTCCTCCTGATCTTCGATCGGCGACTACTGAACTGTGATTCAAACGCTGTAAACAAAGCACGTTTGGTGCAGTGCGTTGGCATATCGCTCTACAGTGTCGGCAAAATTTCACGTTCCTTTGAGCATTGTGTCACTTAACTGAGATTTCAAACGCTAACCTAACCTTCCGTGCAATGCGTCCCGCAAATGCCTTATGCTATGGGAAGGCATCGCACTTCACGTGCATACTCAATTTTATCGCCAAAAAAGGAGCTAAAAGTATTGCCTTTGGATTAACAGTGAAAGCGGTGCGGTGTGTCACATTCGTTTGACCGTAAATTTTCGCCGTTTGTCACGCTCAAACTAACATCGCCGTTTTCACGTGAAAACAAACGTGACGTCACATTCCTTGGCTACCAGTGATGCTAATGCATTGCCAAGCACACACTCTAAATGTCTTACAATGAAATTTGACCTATGTTATTCGTAAGTTACAGTGAATTCGGCGCAAGCATAATACGAAGCAATATTCCTTCGTAATACGAATCTTTTTAGCTATTTCATTGTAAGATACAAAGAAAAACCTTCGTAATACAAAGAAAAACCACCTTCGTAATATGCTTGCGCCATTTCCTTCGTAATATGGGAAATTTCTTCGTAAGACATTTAGAGTGCATGTCAAAGCATTGCACCAATTCATTCCGAGAGTCGGTTTCGTCGCTGTCTCTCTCGCACGTGCAGGACGTCCTATTTATACAGAGCGACGAAAACGACTGTCGGCATCAGTCTGCTGCCTGTCTAGAGACAGGACGGCGCTCGCGAATGAAGA